TTATTTAAAACATTAGAAATCTCTGGAACTTCGAATCATAATCTTCGTTCCTTCACAACTTCAAACGGGATATAGGAGCGAGTGAAGCAAGAAGGGTTAAACTATGTTGGGCATTAGCAGCTGCTGTGTTGATGGCTGCAGGCCAGTCCAAAAACCTTCATAATCATCAGCCAAAGAAGTACGCGGTAGTTATGCTCATGGACTGTCAAAGCCTTTTGGAACCACCTCTCTAGTTTTTTGATTCTTCAGTGAATTGGTGGTTGTCAACAGATGGAATTGGAAATGGAACTGGGTTATTTTCCGTTTGCTTTTTCTCAAATGAAGAAGATGGTAGACTGGTAGAGTGATATTGGGCTTTTCCACTTTTTCGCTTTCTTTATGTTCGCTGGGTATGATGGAATCAACTTAGCTTACGGGTTGTGGCTTGTTGATTTTGGATTCCATTTCGTTTTATCGTGTGAAAATTTTGTTCATTTTAGTGAGAGAAGATATAGGAGCATAAATTGCAACCTCTAGCCTGTACCTAGTAGATATTTGGTACCTTTTTACATAGGGCTCAATTCACGTGAACAGATTCAATTAAGAGCCAAGTGGGAAATGAAGAATTAGAGAAGAAGAAGGGATGAGATGTTGTGGTCCAAAGTCCAAACCACTATTGAATGAATCTACTTACGGCAAGAAGTCGATGTGTCTCATCTGGCTTCATCTGCAACCTCACCACCTCAGGCAATCAAGGTGGAATCGAGTCCTTAAAATCTATATTGGCAAATCTTAATGACTTCAAGGAGTAAGCAAGCAGATCCATTCCATGAGCCCACAACGTCTTCTTTGCTTTTCCTTTGGGTACAAGCTCCTCAATGGCCACTTTAAACTCCCCTCTCTTTCCTTGTTCCCCTTTCAGCAATCCCTCTTTCACTTTCCTGGCCAAGACTAACAACTCTTTCAGCAGAGTCACCGATAAGGTGCGGCCACAGATGGAGGTGTGAAGCCAAAGTGCCAGGACCCAGTTGTTATCGAGTAGAACGTAGAGGCTCGCAAAAAAGATGAAAAAAAACACACCTCTTTAATGTTGCTTATGATCGCCAGTGATTGGCCAGTGGTGGGTAACTCTGTACGCAAAGAGAAAGATGAAGACTTGCAACGACCGGAAGATTTGAGCGAGAGAGATAGATTGACACACAGAGAGAGAGATTTCGAAGAATCTAACCGTAAAAGGACCGTTTTTCCTTAACTCGCCAGTGGACAAATTCTGTCAATGAATATTAACGATAATATAATGGAAGTTGAGTTATAGAAAATAAGAACTTATTGAAATGGGGAGTTTTGGATGTTTTGAAAAATTATGATGAGTTTAAAAAAATCGTAAAAAGTAAGGATGAATTTTAAACAATTCCTCCTCCTAATAAAATCCGTGCATGGGTCTCGATTAATTTACCCTAAAATAAATGTCCACTCCCCAATGGGGGAGGGGGTGCTCCTCCCGCTAGATGATTCAGCTCTTTTGGTAAATTCAAGTCGTTTCATCGCTTTATGTACAATTCACTGTCGGGAACTGATTATTTGATCAGTTCCATTTTTTTTCAAAACTGTTTTTTCCCTCAAAACCGTTGATTTTGGTTAGTAAACCGTTAAACCGGCCGATTAATCATTCGAATCGTTTGAACGGTTTTGACCGTTTTCTAATTTTTTAATTTTTTTGTTAAAACGGGCTAGCCATTCGGGTCGAACAGTCAGACCGTTCGAACCAATAACTGGACCCTGACCGGTTCAGTCACCGGTTCGTTTTTAAAAACCATGGTACAATTTATTCGTGCACCGTACTTCATCCGTATTGGCCGTTGGATGGACTTTGAGATTTGCATAGAGTAAATCCAACGGTGTGGAGCTCCGAAATTTGCTCTAAATTCGGCATCAACAGGTAACGTTTCATTTCCCTGCTTTGCACAAAAATATGTAGGGCAATACACAAAGTTACTGGCTTACTGCTAAAGCTAAAGCTAAATCTAAAGCAAACTTCTACTCTCACTTCGTCATCCATTATTCACTTCTTCCGTGCAATAAAGACGAATGATAAGAATGCTTTTGAGGGCAATGGCATAAAGAAAGAGCCGTTTTTCTGTAACTGCTTAATTACTTAGGGTTTTCATCAAATACCATGCTCATGTTTGAGAGTGATTGTTTGATAAATAAGCGCTTATAAATGTTTGGTAAAAAAGTACTTTTTAAAATGATGTGACGGACCAATAATGGCCAGAAAAGAAATAAATCCTTAAAAATAAGCATTTGGGCTTATTTCTCAAACACTAACACATGTTAATTGCTGTGGTTCTAATCCAAAACAAAAACACTTAAAAATAAGCACTCACAGGCATAATCTAAAATCACCTATTAATGTGCTTTTACCGAAAACGCCAATTAGTGCATAGATTATTATGCAGTTACAACTTGCAAGGGACGGCCGGACGGGTAACATTTTGACATTTAAAACACCTTACCGAACATGATTGGATGTAAAACTCTTTCCATCACTAGGTCACAGGACGTGCAGTTATTAAAAGTTGTCTGATTTAACTTACTTTTGGAATTGCTTATTTTAATTAAGCACTTATTAGGAAAAGCACTTATATGCATTTGAGAAATAAGTCTAAAAGTGATTTTTTTTTTAGAAAATAAACCCATTTTGAATAAGCTATTTTTTTTTTCAAGTGCCTTTTGAAAAAATACTTATCCTATATAAACACTCCCAAAATAGAGGCTTAATAGTTCAATTTAATTAAAGATATGAAAACACAAAAGTTAGAAAAAAATAGAAAATAACTTATAAATTGTTTTTAAAGTCATCCTACAATAAAGATTAGAGATTACAATACCTTTTTTGGGTCATTTAAACATGATCACCTAAACTGAGCAGAAAATTTCAAGGGTACTGGCCCATAATTATATATTCAAAAAGTACCCCTAACACTTTTTTTCTATAGAAAATAAAATTGATCAAACAGAGCCAAATAGAATGGTTGTTTGTGTCTTACAAAGGGCAAAAGTGATATTTTCTTTTGATTAAATTTATGCAAATGGACATTAGAGTCAAGGCTATTATTTTCTATTGTCATATAATGGAAGGTCAATTAAGTAAATCGGTTGCAAATTATAGGAGGTATGCAATTTTGCAAACTATATGGTAGGTTTTATTAAATCTATGAAACTATAGGGGTGTTTTAGTAAATGACCCTTGTTGTAACACATATTATGGGATTATCTTTGACCAAATTAATATTTCTAAAAACTGGATTTCAAAAAAAAATTCTAAAAACTGGCTTTTCAAAGAAAAAATAATTTTTCCAAAAACTGACGAATCTAAAAACCATTTTAACTGTTGTTTCTTGTGTATAAGGATCTGGTCTGAATCTGATAACATTGCTCTAATTTATAAAATATTCAGGGTCTATTATCGATGACAAAAAAAAAAGGTAATTTTAGTTTAATTCACCTAAGAATTGATAATGCCATCCTACAGTGCGGGATAGTGTTGAAGTATTCCTAAGTTAGGGGGAGATGCTATTTATAGGGGTTGGGGGTGGGGATAAATACATTTGGAGGAGTTACAGTATAAATACATACAAAATAACATAAAACAAAAATTCTGCACTCTACATATTTATATTTATACTCCTTTCAAATGGAGCCTTAGGGAATTAATAGACCACCTCTGAGGTAGAGTGGCCTGTAGAAAAAAAAAAGCCAAAAGCAAACATCATCATACCAGACCAGACCAGACATCATCTAATACAAAGTGAAATATGTCTTTTTATGGGACCCACTTTTTTCTTTATTTTATTTCTTTTTTGTTAACGTGGACCCACCTTTTCAGGCAAAATGTTCCTTAAAATTCCTGAATGTTAGCATTCAGATAGAGAAAAAGGGTACAAGCCATTGGATTTGAATCTACGTTTAGGAGCTCCCTTATATGCTTGATCGGTTATTTACATTATTCGAAAGATTCCAATCAAGTGGTTAATGAAAGAATTGCCCAGATTTTTATGTAGTGAAAGGAGTTTTGAATTATATATAATCGATAGCAATAAAGACGAGATGTGAGCGCATGCCCCCTGGGCCTGGCCCCTGCCAACTGGCGCTTTGCATAAGCAAAAGCAAAAGTAAAAGAGCTCAATTACTTCGAAGCAAAAAGCAAAAACTCTCCCTTTTATAACTCGTTACTGGTACTGTTCTGTTACGCAAATGCCAATTGGACACAGCTTCTGTAGAAATCTACGTGTTCTAGCTTTATTGGGTTCGAAGTCTGAGGCTAGTATCTTAAGGCTCAGTCTAGAAAGAGTACGAATACAAATATACAGCATAAATACATAAAAAATAGTACAAATAAATATACAAAATATAAGATTTTGCACTCTATACATTTGTATTTGTATTCCTTTCAAATTGAGCTTAAAGAAAAAAAAATATAAACTCCCACGCTAGTCATAGGAAAGTTCTCTACGTGCCAACGGCTAGTTCATTTTTGTCCCTTGCTTCGTTACGAAGGTAATTTTCTCCGATTTAACAAGAATGGAGTTTGAATATAATTCTAGAATTCGCCCCAACTTCATAATAATTTAATAAAATATTTTTAAATTTAATGTTGATTTTAAAATATTCCTAAATATTTTTTAAAATTTTAAAATTCTAAGATCCTATAATTCAATTCTAAAGTATTTCTAAATTGTCATAATTTAATTAAAAATATTCTAAATTCTTAAAATCTTATTTATAAAATATTTATAATTAAAGAAATTTGGAGATTCCCCGTCTGACGGGAATGGGTGCCCCGCCACCGGGGATGGGGGTGGGGTGGGGCGTAAATCGTAATCCACCACATTGACATATCTCTACTCTGCAATCTACGTAGACAATGACGTGGCCTGTCTCCCATCTTCAGTCTTCGCTGTAGGTGTAGGGGCTTATCAGGAAAGTCGTTCAAATTGGGCTATAAGAATGGAAATTGCTCCCTACACTAGGCTCTAGCACTCGAGTCTTGGCAGAGTTCATGCTTCAGCAGCGATAAGATTCGTCTTCTTATGGCGGTTTCTCTTCCTCCATTGTCGATGTTGTTCGTCTTCTTTGTCTTCTACGAGGTTGTTTCATTTCGTATAACCAGCACACCAAGATTCGATGAGCTCTTTCAGCCGAGTTGGGCTCTTGATCATTTCATCTTCGAAGGAGAGCAGGTTAAGCTGAAGCTCGATAACTATTCTGGTAAAATACGGAGATCTCATTTTATTTTCTGTTCCTTCTCTTCATGTGTCGCCTTATTGATCTTGTGCTTGGGGTGTTCTGAGATGTTTCAGACCGAAGTTCTCCCTCTCTTATTCTCCTTTGTTTTTCTTCATTAGTTACGTACCTTGTTCTTTTCTCAACGTTTCTTCAATTTCTTTGGTTTTTGTTAATAGCCGGTCGGTCTCCATTTCTCCTTTTAAGTTGCCGTGCTTCTTCGGTCTGCAATTTCTCCGTCAGTTCGTCTTCCATGTTGATCCTGTTCTGCCATTGTTTTTTTTTCTTGCAATTTTATGTTCCCAGCTGAAAGACATTTTTGCTCCTTTTCTGTCAAATTCCATTTAAAAGTCCGAAAGCACTTTGAGGTTTTGTACCTTTTATTGTATATTCTTGTGATCGCGAATTAGTTCTTCGGTTCTTCCTCTTCACGCCTGTCATTGCTCCTACTTGGTCTGTTACTCCAAGTGTTTTGTTATACATGTTTCTCTAACTAGTATCTGGTTTTGGTTTTAGGTGCTGGTTTTGGTTCTAAAATCAAGTATCTGTTTGGTAAAACAACGATTCGGATCAAGCTCGTCGGAGGAGATTCTGCTGGAACTGTTACTGCTTTCTATGTAAGAGGACCTCAATTTTCTACTTCCATTCAATTCAAATAATCTTTGCAGGTTATTCATGAATTTGTTTATTGCGCTTTAATTTCCATAACCCACGGATCATTAATACTCACCTGCTTCATCAATTCATGGAGCAAGGCAATCCTGTCTTGATGTTTTTTAAATCGAAATTCCATTAAAGCTCAATTTTATTGTTTTTCTTTTTTTGTGGTTGAAATCATCCGTTGGGTTATCTGGGTTCGATATCACAGTCATGGGTTGGGGTGGCAGGCATTAACTAATCAGTTGAGACTTGAGACGAAATACTCATAACATAAATTGTCAATGGTGTTGGCAACAGATGTCGTCTGACGGTGCAAATCATAATGAGTTCGACTTCGAGTTCCTGGGGAACACGACCGGCGAGCCCTATCTGGTCCAGACCAACGTGTACGTGAACGGCGTGGGCAACCGGGAACAGCGATTGAACCTCTGGTTCGATCCTACCAAGGATTTCCATTCTTATTCCATCCTCTGGAACCAGCGTCAAGTTGTGTATGTCTCTTCTCTGTGTCTCTCACACAGGAATAGGCCCCATTTCATATGAACTCGTGCGCTAGTGGGTTGGTCCATTCCGGTTTCCGAATCATCGGAGACGGCCAACGGTAGACTAGAATCATTACTTTTGCCCTTAACTGTAGAATTCATGAAGGGCGTTGCTTGGTGCAGGTTTCTGGTGGACGAAACGCCGGTACGCGTGTTCACAAACAAAGAGAAACAGGGGATACCATTCCCCAAGGACCAGCCAATGGGTGTTTATAACTCAATATGGAACGCCGATGACTGGGCCACCCAGGGTGGCCGAGTGAAAACAAATTGGACCCACGCTCCGTTCGTCGCCTCTTACACGGGATTCGAGATCGACGCTTGTGAGTGTCCGCTGTCAATGGCGGCCGATGAGAGCGCTCGGAGATGCAGTTCGAGTGAGAAGAAGTACTGGTGGGATCAGCCGGTGATGTTAGATCTGAACCCGCACCAAAGCCATCAGCTGCTGTGGGTCCGAGCCAACCACCTCGTCTACGACTATTGCACGGACGCTAGTAGGTTTCCAGTTACTCCTCCCGAGTGCGACCACCGTCACCACCCGTGATTCATATTCTTCTTACTCGTCGTTCTTTACTGTTTCTGTGTAAAAACTAAAAAGCAGGACGTAGGTGAAGGTGATGATAAACATGAATTCCATGTCCCCCCTCGCCCCTACAGCAATGTAAATAAGGAACTAGTGGAAATCAAAATAGAAGGCATGAGTGGGTGGACCGGTGGACCCGCTACGGCTTACCTCAACCTCATTCAGTCATTTGTGAAATTCTCACTATAACTTGAGAGCTGCACCTAAACGAAAGCAAATCATCGTCGGAGAAAATAAATGAAAGCGTAAATTACAAAGACCCCCTTATGCGTAAATTACAAAACTCCCTCAACCCTTATTATGAAGTCAATGATAAAGACCCTCTTGTTCTTTAACTTGTGATAAAGACCCCTGAACTTTTATACTGTTACAAATACCCCTCGGTCGTTAAATCAGATGATGAAAGGCACTAAATTATCAAAATACTTCACTAAACTTTCTCTATTTTCTTTTTTTTTAAAACTAAACTGACCTAAAAAAATACGTTTGCCCATTGACGTAAAAGGAAAAAATCTCCCGTAAATTCATTGGTGACGTCCTCTCTCTCTCTCCCCACTTCTTTCCTTCTCTCTCTCGGCCATCCTCCCTCCCCAGACATTCTATGTCTCTCCATTTTCACCTTACTGCCGCTACAATTCTTAACAGTGCGGGTGATTTCATTTTCCAACCATCTCTCTCTTCCTTCTCTCTTTTATTTATTTATTTTCTTATTATTATTATTTTTCCCTTGTTCTCCATCGCTGTAACAGACCTTCCTTGTTTATTGTCTCCACCCATTACCTTTGTCACTACCGAACCCAACCTTCTCTCTCTCTCTCATTTCCTCTCCCCCTCCTCAACATCCTTTGTAGCCGTGATCCTATGCCACCGCCACTACTAGGAGTTGCGGTAATGGCATCCCCTGCTCCTTCTATCACCGGTATCCATCACTTACAGGAATCAAGTATTGTTGTGGTCACCGGTATCCATGGCAATTTGACCAAAGATGTCTTTTCACTGTTTAAATAAATAAGAAAAAGGTAATTTTGAGATTTAAAAAATTAAAATAACTGAATGTGAATCTTTTTTGAAGATAAACTGATAGAACATTAGCCAAGGAGGTTTTTGTCTAACAGCAAAAGTCCAAGGGGTCTTTATTAAAAATTAAAGTATGGGGTCTTTGTCACTGACCCCATAGTATAGGGGTCCTTCTAATTTACCCTAAATAAAAAGCATTGATGATGATGGGTGATCCAATGCGGCAATACCCCCATTGGACATGCAATCAATGTTGTTCACTTTGCTAGTTTGCCTTGAACCCATTCATTTTCCTTCTTTGACGTAACTACTTTTATCGATAAAAGAGCTCTCTCAATGAACAGTGATCCCCAATAATCTTCTTGTAGAGCAGCTCATTTCATTTAAGTTTGATTTAAGGGATATTGTCTAAAACATGCCATGATTTTTTAGCATTTATCTTAAGCTAACAATGCATTTTCAAAACCTCCAAAGAGCCCCCTCTCAATGAGTTTTTATTGTTCAAAACTCACATTTTGTTATATCACCATTAGTGATAATTAACAGAAGATGGCATATAAGTAGGGGTGGATTCGAGCTGAGCTGAATACTTGGCTATTCAAGCTCGGCTCGCTGAAACTGTTTTAGGCTTGAGCTCGAGCTCGATTCGAGCTAGAGATTTGAGCTCGACTACAAGGCAAGTTTTTTTTTTCTAAACAAATAAAAATTATACATATAAAAATATTTTTTCTTTTATTTTACAAAAATTAAGAGTTACAATTTTTTTTTATTATTATACATATAAAAAATAAAAAATACATTTTTATTTTACATACAAAAATAAGAATTATAAAAATCATTTACTATTATACATAAAAAATAAAAATATTATATATAATAAAATTATTTTTCATATATATGTATATGTATATGTATATGCATATGCATATGTATGTATGTATGTATGTATATTATAAAAAAATGTTTATTTACTATACTAGGCTCATGAGCATCATGATCCGAGCTTCACTAGGCTCAAGCTTGGCTCGATTAGCAAATGAGACTATATATCAGGCTCGAGCTTGACTCAAACCTCAATTTAAACCGAGTCAAGCCAAGCTTTTCACGAGCCAAGCTCGAATAGCTTGTGAGAAGCTCGGCTCGTGGCCACCCCTACATATAAGCATTTAAGCAATTTATTTTACCAAAATGTACCCCTGAACAACTAGTTAACCTTATTAAATGTTTATACCCAAGTAAATGCAGTTACTTGGGTAAGTTTTTCCTGGGAAACACTTACCCGGGTAAGTGCATTTACCCTTGTTCTTTTATTTCTCATGTAAATAAGGTAATGACCATTTTAGCCATAAAAATCCATTATTAAAAGGGGTATTTTTGTCCCATTCAAGTGTTGACAACTTTCCCCTTAGGTGGAAAAGTTATTTACCCACGTAGGAGATGGATACCCAGGAAAATAAACTTTCCCTGGTCCCTACATAAATCTGAAAAAAAAACATGGGATTCTTGGTCAATGGGAACCAAAATCCCATTGACCAACTTTTCCCCCTCTCAAAATCAGTAAAAAGAACGCCCCCTTGATGTTGGACTCAAATTCGATGGTATGAGTAGTAAACCCAATAACCTTGCTCTAAATTAACAGTAATGAATCAAATAGAGAGACATAATGAGCTAGGAATCAGGAAATCACCAAAAGTAGTGATTCCTGAAAAGGGCTGATTTCCTGAAAATCATCAAAATCGACCAACCAAACAGAAACCAGACACCACATAAGTTCAATTCAGGTAAAAAAAAAACAACAGAAACAATCATCAAACTGGATGGTCCATTTGAAAAATGTATCCCTTGGTTGAACAATAACTCAATTCTAAAACAAAAATTCAGATGTCATGTCAGTTCAGTTCAGGTACTGTGCTTCTTTTTAAAACACAATAAAAATTCAGATGTCATGTGAGTTCAGGTATTGTATAAAACACAATAAAAATCAGAAACAACCATCAAATTGGATGGTCCATTTAAAAAATGAGCCTGTTATTGAATAACAATTGAGTTCTAAAACAAAACTTCCACATTATCAACATGACACAGGACACACTGCCCATTGAACTAGAACTAAACCAAACCAGTCCAAATTTTATTTCCTCATGTGCAACATGCTTCTTTTCCAATATTATCATTGTTAATAGCTGTTATAAATTTATTTAGTAGCATGACCCTCTCCTGATCAAGCATATCCAATCACATTAAGAAATCCTTCTTAAACAACTACTGAACTGACATGCTCAAATCCCAAAGTGGAAGTTCAGATACAGGGTGACGATGAGCTGACACATACATCTATCAAATTCTTCATAAGTGGAGGTTCAGCTAATCACATATACAATTTAACATCACCATTGCCTCCTCAAAATAAGCTACCACCCAGCTGGATGGGCATGTGCTCTTCCCTCTAAGTACAAATACAACCTAATTGCAGTTTCTGAAAAGGGCTGTGTCAAAGTTTCATACACCAGCACCCTCTCAAGAGTCAAGAGGTAGGAAAACAAACAATAAGAATTTATTAACACAGAAACTATTGCTTATAAAGTTTCCAAATGTGGACAAATACATATAACAAAATAACAGGTAGAATAAGATGCCTAAAAAACTAAATTAGGAGACTAAAATAGACTCAGAGTGTTAATAAATTCCCCTTTTTTTAATAACTTAACTAATTTTGCACATGGAATGGATCCATTCCCTATTCATATAGCTAGTAGCAGAAAAGGTGAAACAAGTGAACACATTCACAAAAAAAAAGATCTCCATTGTATCCATCATCGATTTTCCCTACATTATGCTAAAAATTGATTCTGAAAACAGACTGAAAGAACAACGATCCATCATCTATGGATTGGAAGTTAGAATCTGAGCTTCAGTACTTTCTTTCGGCAATAAGAATGCCTGAAGAGCATGTTTTGCTGCTGAGTAATGGGCTACTACACTCTCACTAGTAACCCAAGCTTCACTTTCTATAATTCCAGAGTTCTCAGTGGACTCTTGAAATCCAGAAGCACTGGAAGAAGAGAAATAGACCCTGTATATTGAATACAGGAATAAAGAAATATCAGAAATATGTGTTCTTTGTTTACAGACTAACAAAATAAGCTTATATCGGTACTAAATACAACAAGTTAACAGACCATATTTAGCAGGGTTGCATCCATGAACTTAAACCATCTGCTAACACTAGTTATTAGAATCAGTGGATGTTCATAAAACTCAGGTTCATATCCTATCTTCATCATCTAACAACTGTCAACTGACCAGATAGCCAAATTAACTCAAAAGGGGAAAAAACTGCCATTTTTTTTAATTGGTACATGTTTCAAATAACACCATTAAGTCTTATACTGTTTGTTTAGTAGGTATAGCTAACAGAATAGTCACCCCATTATATACTAGAAAGTAGAATCATAGTCACGAGGTTAAGAGTATAAAACTTGCTCCATTTCGACTTATTGTTATACAATGAAACGAGTCCAGGATGACAACCACTGGAGTGGACGATACAATTCATTGAAAGACGTGAACTATTATTATCTCTCTCTCTCTCTCTATATATATATAGTAACCTGGGGTTTGTAGACTGACATCATACTTCTATAGCTTTAAGATTTGTTGTTCTTGTTGTTGTTGCTGCTGTAATCAATCAATTCTCAAAAAAGTAAAAGTCCAATTCAATGTTTTATCATACAGGATCTACAACCTTGGATGTGGGTATGCTGGTATGGATCTACTCTATCATATATGTAACCCCTTTTCTGGTGCAGAATGGGACCTTGGGTCTACGAAGACACTCCAGTAAAACAATGTAAGATACAGAGGTTGGCGAACACCCCTGTAGATAATCTAGTTAGAGGAGTATGGATGAAATTTGTTATTGGGGTATGGGAATTCTAGGACAATTTTATACCTTTTGATCAAAATGAGCATAGTCAAGACTCTATTGCTGTTTTGGTGCTCCTTTCTTAATTTTGGGAAAGCAGTTTTGTAAAAACTCAGAATGCTCTGTATTATGTTTATTGCATCTTTTAATTTTGTTGTTGATAAAAAAACATTGATATTTAGGCGCCGCTTGCTTTTCGGTTGGTTACTTATC